TTTCACTTCAACCTTTTCCCTATGCTTCAGGTAACTTAGATTTTTTTTTTACAAGAGACAATTTTTTCTTTCTTTAGTCATAAATAAAAGGACAGTCTGGAAATACTTAGGGGAGTTAGCGTACAAGGGTGAATGGATTTCTGTCAGCATATTTGTATCTTCAGATATTTTTCTTGTTTTCTAAAGTCTACAGGAAGATTTTGACACTAAAGATATTATTTAGGAGAAAAGGAAGTTTAAACAGTAGATATTTGGAGAGTAGGTGTTATTCTCCAGAAGCTTTCCTTGGTGTGCTATGAGACAGAAACTGAGTACAAAGTTGAATTTGGGAGAGCCTTGCGGATGGGCAATTGCAGTAACAAATTATTTAGAGAAAAATAAAATGAATGGATGTTATTTACAGCCAGCAATTCTCCATATAAAGATCATTACAATCAAGCAGTCTGAGTACAAAAATGCTTGGTCCTGGAGAATTGTTAAAAAAAAATACTATATTTATGTCTAACCAAATGTTGTTTGGGATTAATGAAACCCTCACAGTTTTAACTGATCATTAAGCCCAAGATGACTGTGACAGCCTGTGTTTGATGTATCCTATGACCTCCCTGAAAATCTTGGTAGCTATATTGGTAAATAAACAGGCATAAGAAACCAGAACTATCATTGTCCTTTCTATTTTATTTTATCTTATTTTATTTTGTCATCAAGCTTGTATGACATATGAATCCTTTATGAGTTTGGTGAATCACAGCATACCAGTCTAGGGAGCAAATTTAGACTTTATCCAGAAATCAGCTCTAATTTACCAGCTCATGTTTACTCCAAGGTGTGCTAAAGTTATAGCAAGTGTACCCTCCTACTTGTCTGCAATCAAACACTATGATATATCCTCAGAACTTCACAAATAGGACATTGCCTATATTCCTCATTGTTGTAGTATTCTTGCTTTCAAAATATCTTAACCTATTAAAACTTTCATAAGAAAATTCAGTGTTTCAAAGAGAACAAAAATTTATACACACAATATTGATTTTTTAGAAACACAAATGACATCAAGAAACACAATGTTAACATTTACCTACAGAAATGCAATCTTGCCAAAGATTCTCATAAAGATTCTATATGTCTCTAAGGTTTCCTATTTATCAACCTTCTCAGAGAAAATGGTTTTTTGTTTTGTTTTGCTTTCTCTTTTGTTTTCTTTTCTTTCTTTCTTTCTTTCTTTCTTTCTTTCTTTCTTTCTTTCTTTCTTTTTTTTTGTAAGATGTTCAGGAATGAAATTGTTCTTAATGACACTATCACAAAGCAAACAAGAGCTGCATAAATGTGGATTGAGTTTAGAATAAATGTCATTTTGCTGAATTGCAATCTTAAATGTATGAATTTAATTTTGCATCTCAATTTTTTATGATAACTTTTAAGGCTTCCTCGGAGATGATGCATTAATTAGACAAAGTGTGTGATTGTAACTGATACTATCATCTAGGAAAATTGTTACAATATCCGGAGCCAATCATTTCTATAAGAGAGTTCCCTAAAGCAAAGGTGAATGAAGCACAAATAGAAAAAAAAAAGTGTGTGTGTGTGTGTGTGTATTTCCCTTTCTGAAGACATCCTCTATTATTAATATGTCAATTTTAAGATAAGCCTGGGAATGATAATAATGAGTATTTTTATTTATTATTGAATTTTAAATCACAACTAAACATATCTCAAAGGTTGGTACTTCTATTACAATTCTATATATTAGATATTTTCACTTCATACGTACACTAACAGAGTTAATAATATTAAAGGTGTAACTAGTAAATAAGGGATTAAGGTTCAGGACAAAAAGAAAAAACTGTAGACCAAGTAATGGAGACACTGGACTAACAACTGATATTCATTTTCTCTTGTAGGTAGTAGGTAGATACCTATTCTCCCATCTATGCTGGTTTCCCTAAATAGCATGAGCATTATCAGTGATTGAATTATAGTCACAAATGTATCATTAAGGACTTCTCCAATATCAGGGAATATTTATGTCTTAATGTATGATGATTATATTTTCTGAGTTTCTTAGACAAGAAGCTACAGGCAACTAATGACTTTGATACAGAAAGCATTAGCCTTTCCCAGGAAAAATACAGCTTGTTGATTGTTCAATTCAGAGTTGTCAGTAAGAACTTTTAAAGGATATTGAATTCACTTACCAATAATAAAATAAAATAAAATAAAATAAAATAAACCCAAAACAAAAATGGTACACTTGATTTACTAAATTAAGTAATTTCTCCCCAAAAGTAGGACTTTTTTCATCTGAATCAAGAAAAAGTGGAAAAAATTTTGCCTTCACATTGCTAACTACCTGTCCTGTCCAACAGAAGAGAAATGGAGTACCACAGTGGGAATCAGTATGGATGTTTCCCAAACCAAATTTCTATTCCATATGATCTTAACAAGCCACTTTTACCTAAAAGGATTAAAGTCAGCTTAATGTAGGGTTACCTGCATACTCAGTTTTATTTGGCATTATTTGCAATAACCAAACCATTGGATCAGTCTATGCTCCCACCTATGGATGGATAAGATTATAAGAGTGTATAGTTTGCAGTTAGTGAGGTTTAATAAAACAGTGTCTCTAAAACAAACATTGTGTGTTGTCTCTCATATGTGGAAGCTGAGGGTGGGGTGGTAAGTATGAAACTAAAATGTAAGTACAACACGCCAGAACAAGGAAGGGGCAAGGAAAGAGGGGTGAAGTGTATAAAGATGATAACATGATCAAATACTTTATATGCATGTGTAAAAATATGACAAAGCCCCTCAGTTGGTACAATTAATATAGGCTAACTAACAGGTAAGAGGATGACATAAGGTCAGAAATCAGGAGTCTCCATATTGTTCATAAATCAATATAAAAAGTAGATTAAACACTTTTCTAAAGGTATTTATCTAGTGACAAAGGCAAACCTAAAACTCAAGTCTCCAACTTTCAGTGCAGAATTTCCATCACTTTAAGATGCATTGTTCTGGTAACCAGCACTGGAAAACACTCCCAGGTCAGGAGACACCCAGGGTGTCAGTCATGCTTGCTCCTATTTGAAAAATTAAAATAGCTGATCCTTACTGTGGATTATCTTTTCTTAGCAGGTCCCACCCTAGAGAAAGAACTATAAGGAACTGACTGACGGGCAGAAAATTACCCTCTCCCAGGGATGAACCCCTTAATGGTTGTTCAACTCAGAGTGGTCAGCCTTGGTACCATATACATGCAAACAACGCAATCAGATTCAAAAAGTTGTGTCTACATAATCATGCATAAGCACTCAATTTGTGTCTGTTTGTAACAATAATATACAAGTAAAACAGAGCGTCAACCAGAGAGTAGGAAGGGACATGGGAGGGATGAATGGGAGAGAACCTGGTGGGATTGGAGGAAGAAAAGGGGATGAAAAGAAGTGATATGTTAAGAGACAAAATAAACTAGGACCATTTAGTTAAAAGTTAATCTTGCTTCTTTTTTGTCCTTCCTTTTCCTCATGTTTACCTTTTTACTAATGACGATTTTTTTGTGTGCCAAAAAAGTGAAATTAATAAACAAAAAGGCTCAAAATGCATCATAAAAGAGACACTATGAAATTACATGACTTGGACAAGTTTATCACTCTTTTGAGCAATGACAACCAGTCTCAAAGTTGACAGGTTTTTGCTCTTTAACGTACAACGTATGTATCCTCACATAGTAAGATATTTTGGGGAACATTTCAAGATTCCAGGTCCCTCAAAGCATAAAACATAGCAGTATGAGACAGTTTCAAGTTTTCCATATCTTTCTATTTCCCCCAGAATGTTTTTATTTGTTTAATGATGCAAGGAAATAAAACTTCTTGAAGTAGTTAATTTTCCTTAGAACACTTTAAGCTTAAATAGAACTGCACAGGAGCCCAAATTCATCTACTCCCACCGTCTCTCACTTCGTACCGGATTCCAACATACATTCAAAAGAGGATTCATGCAGATTACAGTTCCTGGTGGGAAGTTCTTTCAGCACAATATTCTGCCTCAAGAATAAATCCCCACTAAGTTATTCTGGAGGTATCCAAAGCTTTTGTTTAGAAACAAAGCCAAAGATATACCTTAAAACAGTCATTTGGAGAAAGAATATAAGAAGTAAGATTTCAATAAATATTTATTTCAGTAAAAAAAATGGAATACTTGAAAATTACATATTGTAATGATTAAAGTAACAAATACATCGTAATTACCATTATTCTTTCAGTAAATGTCATTGATGTTGAATAACTGCATAAGACAATAACATTCCCAGAATCTATGTCAAAGAAATATGTGCTTTATAAAAAGCCATTTAAATAAGAAAGCAGAACAAAGACTCATACAAAAAAAATCTTGATTTGACCATGGTCATGCAACTAGTGAAAATTTTGTATAAGCTATTCGATGATCTGGGAAGTTCCAGGAAGAAAGACCAAATATACATAAAAACCGGAAGCCTGTAATAAACGTGGGATCAGAAGATAAAGTTTTCCAAGGAAATTATATCTGGGACCAGTCAACCGCTGGGATTTTTCCACGAATGCACTTATTATACAATTTTTCAAGCTCAGCACAAGTAATAAATTTTGCTCTTGTGAATCTTACAGGGCACTAGAAGCGCATACTGAGTCAAATATCACCCAAAATCTTACACTTCAAACCCAGGGGTGCTGCAGGGACTTTCTCTGCTTAAATAGTTCACTGCAATGCACTGAGGGAGACTTAAGAGACAAACAAGTCCTGACATGACAGATTCTGTTCCCTCCCGGGCGCTGTGCGGCTCCGGATAGCATACTCATCTCGGTTCCAGGACAAAACATTTATAAAATGGGGTCCTAACTTTACAGAGTTCCCCAGCTCTTCAACACAATTCACGGATGAAAAGGATGGTTTTGCATAACTGCAAGAAGATGCAGAGCAGGATGTGGTGTCCGCAGTGAAGAAAGAGAATTCTCACTGACCTTTTTGCTGTTTAAAGGACTGAATGGAGCCTGAGTGGTGGACCATTTTCACTCTGCGTGTTCCAGCGGAGTTGAGGAGCTGTCCGAGGCGGATGCGGAGGAATTGTAGCCAGACTTTCCAGAGACACTCCTGGGGCTCTGAGTATTCCCAGAGCCACCTAGCTCATCGCAATCTGACACCTGCTTTAGCCAGCATTTAGCTCTGAAGGCTGTGTGCCCGCCAGTCTCATCGTCATAGCAACGTGGGAGGGCAGTCCGCGGCCGGCTCCCCTCAGTGGCTACTTCTGAAATAACCCCACATTCCGGCTGTTTCTCAGTGCTGCAGTGAGGGTGGGTGTTGTGAGGGGTTTGGTGCACGTGGGAGAGAAAGAAATTTCTTAAGGACAAGGCATAAATCCAAACATTCCTTCAGAGCTATCGCTAATGCACTCAATTTCAAGCTCTAAGCCTCCTTGTCACACCCAGGCACCAGTATTAATTTCCTAGAAGTTGGTCTGTAAATTAAGAAGGGTGAAGCTGGCACCTGTCTTGACAGGAGGATTCTAACAGATGCAGTGCTGTTTTCATCTTTCCTTCTTAAATATACATGTGGGGAGGCCACAACATCCATGATCTGTCTTAGATAAGCAGTAAGGTCTAGCATGCAACATGTAAGTTCTTCTCTGCTTCAGCTACTTCGATTTTAATTTTTTTTGTGTGATACTGAAAGGTTTAATTCCTCCTAAGAGGTGCTGAAGAAATATCACAAGTGGTGCTCAATATAATCATATTAAAAAGCCATAAAAATAATGTTATATTATAAAAGAAACTGAAGCTCACAACTACACACAAGTCCCATTATCACACAAATGGAAACAGTATTTGAAATGAAGACACCTAATAGTCAGAGGAAACAGTCACGGAAGGACCACGTGTAGTTGTTAAGTGAGGGTAAGAGCAAGCTAAAATGGTTTCCAGTGCAATCTCCACACCCCCCTTTTTTTAATATATTCATAGCTTCCTGATCACAACCCCCAAATTTCTCCCCGAACAAGTTAAATAAGGTATTATTGAACAGACATGGAACAAAAGGGTCTGTTGGTTCCTAAGTTTGAAATTGTGTGAGACCAATTAATTTAGAATAAGCTGAAAGTCCAAACAAAAGCAGATTTTAAAATGATAATGAAATTTCACAATTTTAAAAACCTCAAATAGTTTGAATTATTGTTAAATTTTCTGTCTCCATACTTGCTGCATGATTCAACGATGATAAACGTAAGTAAAGTCAGCATCAAAGGAAAAGGCATTCTCATTATTCAGAGGCATATAGACCCCAGAACTTAAAATCGCGGTTAATTCTTATTTGTAATGGTGACTTATAAAGTAGATAGATTCAATCTGTAAGTTCTCTGGGCACTTTTTATTTCATTAGTGACAGGACGTGAGGTCATCTGAAACAAGAAGTAGAATAGGAAGGAGGAAGTCAGAGACACAGCAGGCTTTACTGCAATATACCCTGAGTAGAAAGAATATCAAAGACTGTGCAATGATATTGGACAGTGATATTGGCAGACAAAATACCATACATACAATATAAATAAAAACAAATCTTTGAAAGGAGTGCAAATCCAAAGGATTTATAAAACAAAACAACTCTCACACCTATGGCTTAGGAAACATGGCTGAAAAGGAGAAAGAAAGATTCTAAGATCCAGAGGATGATGGAGTTCGTTATGAGACTGAGTCTGTCTCCTGGTAATGTCAGAAATTACACCCATAAACTCTCATTGAACATGGCTGGCCAAACATGAGTTGAACAAGGACAGTAGCAGTGGGCATGCCAAACTGGACAGAGGAATCTCAAGAGAACTCAACCCTACTGGCAATTTAAAAATGCTGAGAAACAGTCTTCCCCAGGGAAGAAAACAATTGGTTATCCAAACCGAAATAGACAGCCCTAAAAAATTATATGCAAGTAAAACTACACAGACTGAACAGGTTATATTAGAAATATATATGTATATGCAGACATATATGCATACAAAACAATCAATATTCAAAGAGGGCATGAATTTGGAAGAGTGAAGCAAGGGTGTATGGGAGGTTTTGGAAGAAAGAAAGGGAAGGGAAAATGATGTAATATATTGTAACTTCGAAATAAAAGAAGGTAAACAGAAAGAATTTTTTTACAGCTACTTTTCAAGACAATTACACCAAGTCTGGAAGCAACAAATGGCCATCTTAAGATTGGTTTTACATTACCTTAAGTGAAAAACAATGGTAAAACTGATCTCATAGTTCATTCACATGCCACTGAACTAAAGAGATTCTAAGACAGTCCCACCTTCATATGTAAAATTAAAATCAGGTAACATATTTTAGAACTAATTCATAGGAGGAAAATAATGTCCAATAAATCCTTGTCACAGTGGTTTGATTAGAGGTCTGATTTCCTGCTAATAGTTTCAAACTACCAAAACAAGGAATTACTTATGGATGCAAGCATCTAATTGAATTAATTATCATGAGGTTCATAGAACGGAATTAAAAGCCTGTTTCTAGAAGGTACTTCCAGGCATAGGTATAGCACTTTAACATTCTAGACCCTGTCCTGACAATCACTATTTGTCTTCAACTAGTATTCAGACTAGCAGCCAGCAGGAAGAAATAAATGATACAACGATTTAAACTAGAGTTAAACTAGAATTTGCAAATTGATGTGATTACTTTTAAGCAACAAGTTTAAAACAATCCCCCATTCTCTGTGTTACAGCTATGGTTAAACATACCTTCATATATACTTTTCTGTTTAAGCAAAACAAAACAAAACAAACAAACAAACAAACAAACAAAACTATTTGAAGTTGTACTGCCAGATTGATTAGCAGGGGATTTAAAGAACATTTCTGCTTGTTTTGAAATCAGTCTTTTAGGGAAGGTTGCTAGAGAAACAGCTTTGTGAGGGGCTGGGGAAATTTTAAGCTCCATCTGCTTGATAGGAAAAACATTGCCAAAGAGAAGCAAAAGTGTGCATGTGTGCGTGCCTGCGTGTGCCTCTGTGTGTGTGTGTGTGTGTGTATTTACCAGGAGTAAAGAGTGAACAAAGAGGAGTTGAAACCCAGAGCAGGGACCTTATTTAAAAGAAATATTCCTTTGATCTAGTGAAGTATTTTTAGACTGTCAACTACATTGTAAAACATTTAGCAGTGTGCACTACGTCGCCTCAATAGGAACACTAAACTGTGTTAGATTGCTTTTTTCTTGCTACTTGATTTCAAAACACTCATCAAATTTTAATGCTTTAAGAAAAATGCTTTTTAAAAAAACATATTTCAAGAAAATGTAATGATTAGTTTGATGTACAGTAAGATTTTCAATATGTTTAAAAATATATAAAAATAATTAAAGAAACAGGTTCAAATTTCCAGAGTAATTACTTCAGCAAATTGTGATTTGGACATACATTTTAAATATATCCCTTTTTTATGTTTATACCAATAATATTCATAAATCATGCATACATCTTGGCCCTCCCTGAAACTTCATTTGTTTATCTTGATTAAATTCCAGTACTTAAAATTCAATGACCCAAGGATCTGTTACTCCAGCTCATGCTTTTGGAAATGTTCCACTTGTTTCTGTCATTCAGTAATCTATCAGCCCCTTCGCCACTTTTCACCTCCCAGAATGTCAAGGATTTCATTCTTTACATAACTAGCGGGAGTTCATTTCTTTGAATGTTGCAACACTGCAATAGATATAGGGTATTCGATCTTTCTATCCTATGCTCCATCAGGGGAATGAAGAGAAATCTGACTGACTGTTTGGGTCTTGAATCACTTCTCTAATTAAGATTAAAGTTGTCTTCTGATTCTCATTGCCTAAAGAGTCACAGAAATAGAATCTACCTCTGCAGTGTTTCCCTTATAGATTCAAATTATTTACGGTACTAATGGGTGAATAAAGCCACAAAGGAACTTAGTAAAGCATTCATCCACAGACATCAGGAAATAAAAAGAGAATTCTCTCCCCAGGAGATACTAAAAGAGAAAGATGGTGTCTCTGAAGGCAAAATGAGTATGGATTAGTAAACTATCTCTTTCTTTGTAGATCAACCAATGTAGTTTCTTTTGCATAGGCTTTATGGATACTTGTAAAAGTAAAAAGAAATAATTTTTTAAACCATAAAATCACTTCAGGAATGTATTTATCTAATGACACTAGTAGTTACTGCTTTCTTTAAGCAAAGACAAATGTAATCTATCAAAATATATTATATAATGAGTATACATATACATATATATACACACACACACACACACACACACACACATATATATATATATATATATATGGAGAGAGAGACAGAGAGGCAGAGAGACAGAGAGAAAGAGAGACAGAGACTGAGGCAGAGAGACAGAGACACAGAGACAGAGACAGAGACAGGGAGAGTGAGACAAAGACACAGAGACAGAGACACAGAGACAGAGACAGAGAGAGTGAGACAGAGAGACAGAGACAGAGACTGAGACAGAGAGACAGAGAGACAGAGAGACAGAGAGTACCAATCAAATGTTCTTCTCATTTCCCTCCATCCTCTATATTTTATTAGAAACACAATTCAAACCTTTGAAAAAAACTTTACAGGTATAACAGAAAGAGTAAAGTGTAATTGAACAGTCACTTCTTCCAAAGCCTATATTGTTCTGGATTTAGGCACTTTATTACATTGGAATAAATCAGGCTGGCTCTGCTGACACCCAGACTTGTGCCTAATGCATCGTTCAGAAGTGACAAGGCTAACAGATGTGACCAAGAAAACGTAGTGAAGGAAAATCAATAGCCTCATCCGTGTCTGAGTTTAGCCTCATGAGGTTTAATCTTTACCCAGCAGTTTTGAGAACACAAATTATTGTTTGAGAAAATAACAAAGAAAATATAGAGAATTAGAAAAAAGCATGTGATAATTTATTATACGAAAGCTTGTATTTCATGTTCCTGCTTGATTTTTTTTAAAGATGCCTACAGAATTAATACCCTTTTTAGTCTGTCAACACTCACTTTATCTATAACCTCAAATATAGGATGGTAGAATAAGTTTTGCATATCTTCAAAGAACTGTAGCTACATACAGATAAACTCTACTTTTATAAAATTGTGTGAATAAATTTCATTTAAATGAATAAAATGAAATTATATTTGAGTTTGTGCCTATTCATTAACCA